TGGTGCCATTGAGCTAAATCTCCAGCCCAATAAAAAGGAATCTTTGTAATTACTTTGTATGTTAGGTAAGATACCATCAACCTCATATTTGCTAGACTTACAAAATTATTTTAAATACATTTTGTCTTTTTTGACGCTATTCAATAGAATGTATAAGCTAGCTAGTCCTTGTTTTCTGATTAAATCAAACTTTTTGCATCTTATCTCATGCCCCCAAAACAAAAGGTGTTTGTTGATCATGAAGGAAAATGTAAGGTTGTTAACTCTGTTTTTCAGAAGGACTGCTGTTAATTCCCTATATAAGTGAACTACTGGGCTGGATGTGTCTCTGAGTGATAGGGTGCTTGTCTACTTGGTCCCCAGCACCACAAAACAGGCAAACAAGCACGAACTCCCCCTTCATCCCATGCCCAGGTTCCAGTCATAATTAAAACTTCTAGAATTTCACTTGTTGAGGTGTAAAATTTCTTTGATTTCAGTTTGAAGTTAGTGACCAGAAAAGGATGTAGTAATTGACTATAATTTTTCTACCATATCAAAGTAAATAATTCATGCCTTCATTATCGGTAGGACAGGCCTACAATGAATAGATGTTAGCAGTTCACAGAATTTTTAAATGGAGTTAAAGGGGAGGGATATACATCCTTTGGGAATTAGCATGGGGATATAAATCTAAAAATATTTCTAGTAATGTTTCATATTTAATGTTCTAAAATCTTTACAAATGAAAACCATAAGGTTACTGGCCTTAGTTTCTTTGACATAAAAAGTGGTCACTTGGTTATATGATAGCTGTTACTTAACAGCAAAATTTCTTCAATTAGCAGCTGAGGCATTTTACAGGCTGAGAAATCTTGGACCAACAGGTAATATTTCTGACTGTATTAACATGTTTTAGTGCTATAAAATACTATGTGAGTGTCTTAAAATCTTGACATTCTTGACTTGCTGTTTTTGTAATGTTTTACTTCTACCTTAAGATTTAGGGTTTTTCTATGTATTTTTGCCCTGAGTTAATGTGTTAATTTTGTGGAAACTCTGCTTTTAAAATCATTGCTTAATGGTTCTAATACATTAAAATTAAACTTAAAAAATAAGGAAGAATAAGACATTAATAAATAAAGGAAGGAAAGTAAAATAATAGATAAAAAACAGAAAAATTAGAAGAAAAATGGTGAATAAAAAATTAGTCTAAAAATTAAAAAAAATTCATTCTCATTCTCTCTCTATCTATTTATTGATTGATTGATTGATTGGTACCGGGGATTGAACTCAGGTCCTTGCGCTTGCAAGGCAGGCCACTGAACCACTGAGCTAAATCCCTGGCCCTTCTTTATATTTTTGAATGTGTGGTTTCTTTCTAGTATCTGCAGTTTTGGAGTCCAGTAAGTGATTTTTTTTCTGCCTAGCCTCATGGTCTGTGGGGTCTCCACCCCCTACCCAGAGCCCCCTTTGTACACCCCAGCTCTAACAATGTCCATGCCAAGATGAGTCCTTGGTCACATTGGTGGACAGGGAAGGCAGTCAGATACTGGATTGACAGCAGGGCAAGGGCCCAAGTACTCAATGCTGGTAGGCACTTCAGAGACCTAGGTGTTTCTCAGTGTAGCTCATACTGGGCCTGGCTTCTTGCTGTGGGGTTGGGGCCTCTGTCCTTGCTGACCGAGTTTGAACTTCTCAGAGGATCTCTCTCTAGTCTGCTTCATGTCCACAGTTGTCTCCTGTGGTGGTCTCTTACCAGTCACTGTGGGAAGGCAACCCTGGATGCCCTCAAAGTGAAGTTGTTTTTTAGTTGTTCTTAGTCCTAGGTTTAAATATTAACCCCTTCCTGAGATGGCACCTGATCAAGCACTCTCTGACAGTATGGTGGGCACCCACAATGAAGTCCCTCTTTGGCTGTTGCCACTATATGGAAAGAGTCCCCCCAGCACTACTTTTGCAGTTCACGACAGTAAGGACTCTATTCCTATTTCTCCCTGAATCTCTCAGCCCTGGGTGCTTTCCTTGCTTCTGGAGAGCCAGGTTCCCTTCCCAGTGAGCCAAGAGCCTGGGACAGAGTCTAGATTGTTTACTTCTTTTCTTGGCTTGGGGACCTTTTCTCCAACTTCCCTGTAGCTTCTGATTTTCCTGTCAGTTCTTTTCTGATTCCCATCAATCTGCTTTTCCCCATTCTGAAAATCAGCCAGTGTCACTCCATTAATTCAAGGACTCTCTCTCTTTTGACCAAAACTTCAGCCAGATTTCTCACAGTCCTCTGCTTGACTTTGCTTTACCTTGGGCTTTCCCAGTTTTGTTGATCTATTTGGTAGTTTTGTTTTGTTTTTATTTTTTATTTTTATTTATTTATTTATTTTTGAGACATGGTCTCACTGTGTAGTTGAGGCTGACCTTCGACTCACTGTGTAGCCCAGGCTTGTCTTGAACATGCTGCAATCCTGTCTCAACCTCCCTAGTGCTGGGAGGTCTTTGTCACAGGGCCTGGTTGTGGTGACATTTTGAAAAATATTTTTAGTATAAAATGGTAGCCATATTTGAAAAGCGTAGGGAATGGAAGAAATATGTGGGAAAAACTAGTCACTTGAAGTTTATTCCTGTTTCATATTAAATTGCATTTCCCTTGAATTAAATACTTGTGTAGGACATTAGAAAAGTATCAGAAGAAAACCTACATATTTAATCTTAAAGTGGGAAAGATCTTAAGTAGATACTGAGATGGAAGATTAATATATTTTACTGCTACATTTAAAATACATCAAAAACCACTGAAATTAAATTAAAAATGAGTCTAGGAAAATGCTTGCCACACGTTCCGTAAGAAATGCTAATGTCTATAATTCATAGAGTGTAGAAGAGAATCCCGGTGGAATCTTGGACAGAGGATATAATAATACAAGCAGCTGCAAAGCACAAAAGGAGATGAGAGTAGCTCATCGGTGTACCAGATTTATCTTCCCCAGTTATTGGAATATGTTTTATGCACAATAACTCTGAGGAGTGAGCGCTGAACCAGGCTGTGGAAATTACTGTTTTAGTCACCTTTCCATTGCTGGGAAAAAAATAACTGACACCTGCAGCATAAAGAGGAAGAGTTTGTTTTGTCTCAGTTTCTGCTATGGGGATTCCTGCCCTTGGTGTGTTTGAGGATAAAAAATAATCTCAAAGTAGATGCTTTTAGAATGAGAAGAAAAGTGTTCATCTACCTTATATGCTGTATTAATTTGAGTTGCCACATGTAGGCCTGAGATCTGAGTGTCCTTTCTAAAAAATTCCATATGTGTCCCTTGTCCCTTAAATGTGCAGTGAAAAAATGAACACCACAGTCAGTGCAATTGGGCATTGCCTGAAGTAATAACAATGGCAGACGGGCTTTATTGGATTGTGTAGTATCCACTTTTAAACAAATAAGTAGCATTTTTTTAAACATGAAAATTTTATGTAGTTGTAGGATTAATGCCAGTTGGGATATCCCTCATTGCCAGATTGTTGTTAAACTCACTTCCCCAGAATAGCAGCAATAACTCGGGCACCCTTGTGTTTTCTAGCTTGAGCGGGTGCTATGGGAGGCCTCTGTGGGTCACCAGTTCACTAGAGCCTCCAGGCAGTCCGGCTGAGCTTTGGTCTGCATCTCATTAGGAAGTGACAAGGATGTGTGTCGTTAAGGGAGCGCACTTTACCCAGCTGCTGATGGAGCTGATAATTCCATCTCAGCAGTTGGAACTGTGTCCAAGAATAATTAAGCTTAGCTTTGAGCACCCACTCTTCTTGCCAGCCCTACCCTTGGTTGTAAGTGCAGAATGAGGCCAAGTAGAGGATTAGCTACTTCCTTAGGTGATTAGCATGTCATCGTGTGTCTGTATTGTCTTGATGATGAAATCCACCCAGAAGTTTATCAAACACATGGGACATTTCGCTGATGAGGGAGGTTCCAGGCTCTGCTCCAAGGAGGTCACCACCTGTCCACTGCCTCCCGTGTAGCACTCAGTGCAGCTCAGTCAGGGCTGTGAGGCTCAGGCACAAGGGAGTTCTGCAGCCCACCCAGGCTTCTCTTTCCCTTTGACCCATGTGACAGTAGTTGAGGGGCTCAGGCTGTAGACTGACTCCATCAGTGTCCAGACCTACTGTAATCTTGGACCACTGGCTTTGTGTTTCTATGAAAAGGGGATCATCCTAGAAGCTGCCCTGTAATGATGGCACACAGAAACCTATCTAAACTCAATCCTGCTGTGTGCCGTTTTCTTAAAACTAAAGTTTCTATTTTTGCTTTGGAAAAATGATTTGTGCTTATTGTAAATCAATCAGAAAATATAGAAAAGCAGAAAAAAGAAGTCAGGAATCATATTTTCCAAAGCTCATCTCCATGAACGTTTTGGATCACACCCACTGATCCTCGTGTTGGCGTGTGTGTGTGTGTGTGTGTGTGCAAGCAGGGGTTTCTCAGTTTGGTTTTAGTTAACTCATAGTTGTAAACATACTGTGCTGTATGTTGTATCTGCCCCCCACTTACACAATGTTAGCTTTTACATACACTTGTTGGGTTTTCTTATTCTAGTTAGTAACATTTAGCCAAAGTATTATAATCAGTATCAAAAAATGTTAGGCAATGAGGTATAGCATCTTCTCCCAAATGGAGGTGCCAAAAGATGATTCCAGATCATAGGAGAGAAGACGAGCAGCAGTCTAGCTAAAACAATGAACACACATCACTTTTGACATTGAAGCTTTGTTAACAGATAAAAGCCAAGTATGGTGGTACACACATTTAATCCCAGCACTCAGGGGAACTGAGAGAGGAAGATAAAAAATTGTAGCCCAACTGAGCAGGTTAGCAATTTACCAAGACTCTGTTTCAAAATTAAAACAAAACAACTTTTTTTTTTTTTAAGGGTGTTAGAGATACAGCTCAGCATGGAGGCCCTGCGTTCAATCCTCAGTACCACAAACAAAACAAAAAACCATAGACATGACATTATTTAACGTAGTTTGTTTTTTTCTATCCTCAGGACAATTTTCCTAGTATTACTATTTTCTCAATATGCCAGAAATGTTAAATTTCCTCTCCCAATTTACAAATCCAAGAAAGGATGGACTGCGTACAAGTTACAACTTTTCAAAATGTTCCCCGTGAGTAGTCTACTTTGTCCCCTTTGACAATATGCCATCATTGCATGTGTAGGATGCATGGGTAACGAAAAGGCTGTGAACTCACCCTCTAGAGCTAGCCATCCGTGTGGTAACTCTGGGTGCTTTGGACCATTTCAGTCATGCTAATGTTTAGAAGCTGCCAAGGTTGTAGTTCCAAAATGGGAGACATTCTTGTGGCAGTGCCAAAAAAGGAGGACGCTGTCCTTGGGACTATGATTTGAGGTGAGGTCTATTCTAATTCACTCGCCAGATTCTAAAGTGAATGGACCTGTGTGGACATGCTCTTGGGGTAGTGCTGCTCACAGAATGGGTCTGCAGTTCTGAAGGTCTGGTTTCTAGGTGTGATGGTCACACAGAAGGAAGGGTGTGTGTGGCCAACTCCTGCCAGCTCTGCACATCTGACAGAGACTTTCCTTTGACCTCCCCAGATAATCCTGGCCATCCTTGTGTCCTGGCTGCTCTGCTTCATCTTCACAGTGACTGATGTCTTCCCTCCTGACAGCACCAAGTATGGGTTCTACGCGCGCACAGATGCCAGGCAGGGCGTGCTGCTGGTCGCCCCCTGGTTTAAGGTTCCATACCCATGTAAGTGTCCTTGTACCCGGAGGGCTTAGGAGCCTGTAGCCCCAGCTTGGAGGGTTCGGAAGCAGGCAGGAGGCTCTGTGGCCTGAAGAGCTCTTGTCCCAGAACATCTCCTGATTGGATGGTCTTGTTCCCTGTGAGCAGACAGCATGGGGGAGACCAGCCAGCTGTCTTCTCAGATTAACAACTTGGCTCTTAGGGCTCTTGGCCAGGCTTCAGCCCTGGTCGTCAGGATTTGAGGTCAGCTGCTGAGAAGGGCAGGTATGCAGCTGCTTGTACCAGAGCTGCAGAAATGAGATGGCCCAGGGGGCAGGGCCTGGAGATTAGCAAGCAAGCCACTCAAGCATGATGGAATTTACATAATCTTTTAATGGGTGGCTCTAAGCTTCTTAATTTGGTCACAGCTGCAGAGGTAAACTGATAGCTGGAAGATGAATCTTAAAGTTATAATTCAGGTGTTGGGTGACAGCAAGGGGCAGAGACTATGGTCCCTAGGTATCACCCAGAGTCATGCACAGTGTCTTCCCAGACCCCAGAAGTGACTCACATGAGCTCAACGATTGCTACATGTTGGATTGTTTTGTTGTAAAGACAGATGCTGTCCCCAGAATTTGGGGGTTTTGTTAGAGTGCTAGTCCAAGCTTAGTCAAGTTGAGTCAATTTATTCTCCTGTTGAATTGTCTTGTTTTCATATTTTATAATGGTGTGGTGAAAAAGCAGAAAAGCCAGATGTATTTAAGGAGTCAGAGATGGCTCCTGCACACATGTTGAACGATGACTGCTGGCTCTTCTCCCGTTTGTTCTTGCTACATTCACAAAAGCTTTACAAAGTTTAGTCTTTCTAAAATAACATTCTCATCAGGTCACATGGGGCCTAAGTGTATTTATATATGCCTATCCCATTTCCCCAAGAGAATGCACCTGGTTCACAAGCATACCTCTAATCTGGGATGAAGTGAGATTAAAATCTCTTTGTGAGGCGGTCAGGAGATGACGCAGGAGTTGGGGGTGGTGGCTCCTCGGCACCTGGCACAGGCTGCTGCCAAGGTGAGTGCCCTCAGAAACATGGGGCCATATCCATCCAGCAGTCTGGCTGTGTGTGCTCACTGTGATTCGGATCAATCCAGAGGCAGGTTTTTAAACATCAGATATCAAGAGCTGTGGTACTTAGCCTCTGGTATGGTAAGAATTACCTGGATTGATGTTAATACACAGATTTCTGATCCATAATGTCAGCAGTGCCATAGTTGAAAACAATCTGCTATAAGTTAACAAAACAAATTGTAAGAGATAAAGTAACTGCTTTAAGACAGAAGGCTAGAAGGAGAGAGGGGACAGAAAACAGAAGTGGGGAGCACAGTTTAAATGTTGACGTGGATGGAGTAAAGGTTTTAGCAACGAGATTTTTAAGGACTTTAGGTAAAAGTTAGGAAAATAATAAAGCAGCAAGTGTAAAGAGGTAGAGAAAATAGAAAGTACTTTCTGAAAAATAGTTTCCCCTATTCCAGAAAAGCTTGGGACCAAGGCTATTTTGGACTTAAGACCTTTCATTTGTTGTTTTTTTAAATTTTGGGATATTTGCACATACGTAATGAAATATTTTGGAGATAGGATATGACTGGCTGTGCAGTTCATTTGTTTCATGTTTACCTTAGACACACTCGCCGGAAGGTAACTTTCACACTGTGTTTTTAGTTCACCTGGATTTTGACTGGTCTGTCACACAGGGTTGAGATACGGAATTTTCCACTTGTGGTATCGAGTTGATGCTCAGGAAGTATCAGATTTGAGCCAGGCTCATTGGCAGATGCTTGTAATCCTAGTTACCTGGAAACCGAGACAGGAGCATTTCAAGTCTGAGGGCAACCTGGGCAACTTAGCAGGACCCTGTCCCAAAATTTTCTTTTAAAAGGGGTGGAATGTAGCTCAATAGCCCCCCAGTTTACCCCTGAACTGGGGAGGTGCTCTGTTTTGGGTTTTTGCATTAGGCATGTCCTCTGTAAGGCAAAATAAAATAAGAATCTCCCTTTGAAATCAAGACACTAAAATGAAATCACAGTGTCACAGCAGCCACAGTCACAGTAAATAAAACCCAAAGAGTGACTTGATAAAGGCCCCAAAGCAACCCCAGGAGGAAGTGCTGGTCTAACATGTGGATGGTGGGCGTTGTCTGCCTCTGCCGCACCCTGCATGGTGATTGCACTTTGCCCTTGGACCCCTACCTCTGACTGCTCCCACAGGTGGGGCAGGACAGAATGAGAGCAGTTCACCCTCCCACTGCAGGCCTGTTCTGAACATCTTACGGGTCACCTTCCTCTTCCCAAGCCTGTGGTTGCTTCCAGGTACCTGCGACACAAATGCCAGATTCTCTAGGCTTTTTGACCCCTTCTGTGCTCTACATATCCCCCTCTGCTGAGCACCATCTCATTTCTGTGCTCCACGACTCCCCATCCTTCAAGATTCACATCTGCCTCTCATTTCCTTCCCTCCTCACTTGCACTTGGCTGCTTCATTTGAACTTGAACCATCACACTGCCTGAGCCTCTCAGCACCCTGGACCCTGGACCCTGGGCCACAGGGCTGGCCTCTGCCATAGCACTGTGTTTGATCCATCGCACTTTACCCACTTTATCCTCAGCAGGCGTATTATGTATGCCTATTGGTTCAAGGATCTAGGGCCAGTGATTTCATTGTCTGTTCATACTAATAGTGATATATGTTTTTTAAGGGAAAAAAACTTGATGAAAAATTAAGTAAATCCAGATAATCAAAATGAAACTACAATGGGACTTTCCTTTGCTTTCTAAAATAGAACAGTTACCTTCCCATAACGTGGTTTGTGGTTTACTTTTTTTAAAAAAAAAAGTGCCAGTCACATGGCATAGGAGCGTTTTGCACACACTTCACTGTTGAGATGTCTGTTCAGCTGGTGACTTTTCACTAGCTGCAGGCCTGTAGACAAGTTCACTCTTGCTTTGTACTGTGCTCTTCAGAGCAGTGCCATAAATCCCACTCATGCAGATCTCTCCACCACCACAACAGAGTGCATTAAATCACAACTTAGCACATACTGAGTATGACTTTGAAGCAAGGAGAGAAGCATGTGTCTCTTCCCGTGAAGAACATCTGTCTTTTTTTTTTTTTTTTTTTTGAGACGGGGTCTTGCTATGTAGATCAGGCTGGCCTTGAACTCATCCTCTGGCCTCAGCCCCATGGCTGCTGGAATTATAGGTAGGCACCACCATGCCTGGCAAGGGGTGTCTTTTAAAATAAAGACACAGAGGAGACCAATGGGACCGGACTTCCCCAGGCATGTGGTGCATTAATGATTAAGATTCAAAACAGTTTCCATGAGTTTAGAATCATAGTGGCTCTTGCAGGGTTCCCTGAGGTCCTGGTAACTTCAGGGAAGCCATGCCTCTCACTGTTGTCTTCCATCCTCAGTTCAGTGGGGGCTGCCAACCGTCTCTGCCGCCGGTGTCATCGGCATGCTCAGCGCTGTGGTGGCCAGCATCATTGAGTCCATCGGTGACTACTACGCCTGCGCCAGGCTGTCCTGCGCCCCGCCACCTCCCATCCATGCAATAAACAGGTACGGTCTGAGCAGGCTCATGCCTTGTCCAGTGCATTGGCTGAGTTTATGGGAAACCTCCCTGGAAAAACCAAGAGTTTGTGCAGCCAAGCAGCAGACTGCTGGCCGTCTTGGGCCAAGTCACTACCCTCATCTGCATCAAGAAAGACTTTCCTTTCTCTCCCCAGTGACAAACATGTAAGTCTCTTATGATTCTACTTTAAAGCTAAAATTCACCAAAACAAATGCCAGGAACTGCCTTTATTCTTTGCTTGGTTTTGTGTCATTTTGATTGTGTGCTTTGATTTTCTGTTTTTCCCAACTGTTTTCCATTCTCCATATAAACGCAAATTTTAGACTCTGTGCAGTAAAACAGGCTCTTCATTGTTTCTGAATTGCAAAAATTCTGAGTGCCCCATTCCATCCTGCCTGCCACAGTTGGCAGACAGAAAGTAGATGGATGTGCTTTTCTTGCATCCATAATAGAAACCTACTTTGTGTGTGTGTCTGTGTGTGTGTGTGTGGCACCAGGGATTGAACTCAGGACCTTGCACTTGCTGGGTAGGCACAGTGCCACTAAGCTACATTCCCGGCCCCATAATAGAAGCCTTAGCAACAGGCAGTACCTGTTCCAGTGGTGTCAGGTGCACTTCAGCTGTTCTGAGGGCAGGCTCTGTGTAATCATTCGGTTACAAGTCATGGAACCAGGGACAAGGAAAGCAAGAAGAGATGCGATTTGCAGAATCTCAAGGTTTATGAGCTGTAAGGTCTATGCCCTCAAAACTCTTGGTCTTTAGCTTGTAGAAGTCGGTAGAAAGTTGATCCAAGGATGCTGCAGACAAAAAGAATAGCCCTGATTAGCCCCAGTTCTCAGCTGTCAGCTGCGGCTCCAAAAGGGATTGCTTGGGATGGATTAGGGGGCAGGTTCTTAGTAGGACTCACATGGGTTCTGTCTGGGTACTTTTAGTTCTGGTTTTTGTATCTTTTTCAAATGGAGCTTTTACATATAATGAAATAACTCATACTTTAAATGTTTAAGTGTTTAGTATGTTTTAACTTCACCTGACAGCTCATGTCACCAAATGGTGTTACTATGTAGCCAGAGTCCCTTGTTTTCATTTGAAATTATTTCAGAGCACTTGTGTCTAACGTGGGATTCAGAGAGGGGCTTCTTAAAATTGATGAGCAAGAGGGATCCTATTGGAACACAGATTGGGCTTCAGCAGGTGAAGTGTGGGGCTAAGATTCTGAGATTTCTTCTCCCTCCCCCGGCAATGCAGAAGCTACAGGTGTGGGTTGCAAACATTTAAACCCTATTTCAGTATTTTCTTCATTGAATGAATGTTTCTCTTTCTCCCATTCCTGTACATTTTAGGGGGATTTTCGTGGAGGGTCTCTCCTGTGTTCTCGATGGCATATTTGGTACTGGCAATGGCTCTACTTCATCCAGTCCCAACATTGGCGTTTTGGGAATTACAAAGGTACAGATATTTTTCCAGTTACATGGTTGGGCCACTAAACATTTATCCATTCACTGACTGATCTTGGTGAATTCCAGCAGGAATTCTGAGATCATCTTCTCCCCACTCCTTTTTCCCCTTTGGTGAGTTTTGGAGATGCCTTTTAGAAGCCTTCCTCTCCTTGGCCAGCCTGGGAAGGGTGGCAGTCAGGTGCTGTATTTCCTTTATGCAGCTGCAAATGCTTATTGAGAGCCCACCTGTGCCAAGCTCAGTGTGAGGTAGTTAAGGGGTACATCAATGAAAAGTGGGCGCTTGCATTCCAGGAGGAATAGCTCTCAACAGTGAGCATAGCAAGTCAGTAAATGACAGTGCCAGCCGGGGTGAGGATGGTGGAAACATGGGGTTGGGTGATTTTAAATGTTAAATAAGTGTTAAATGGTCAGGCCGGCCCTCTCCAGAAGGATAGAGGGAAGGAGCTGCTGATAACAGGCAAAGAACATCCAGGCAGGGGCGTGGCATTGGAGACCCTGACCTGGGCATGGAGGTCAGCAAGGAAGCCAGTGGGGCAGGGGGGAACAGAAAGTAGGAACATCAAGGGTTGTAAGTAAACCAGAAGCAGGTCACATAGGCCCTGTTGGTGGCCAGAGACTGTGTGGAGGTGGGTGCTGTAGTGAGCAGCTTGCTCTGATGCTAAGGCTCACTTTGTGGTATGAGAGTGGAGACGAGTCACTTGAGAAGTGTTGGGAGTTCTAGATCAGAGATGATTCCCCTCAGGACAGAAAGCCACATCATGTTAAAGGAGTGGTGCAGTTTTCCAGCCTCTGAGGCAGAAGTCTCCTTCCAGTGAAGTCTGATGTGGAGTCCCCTCGAGGTGTCCTCCCTGCTTGCCCCACCCCACTCCCCACTCCACCCAGACACAGACTTGTAAATCTGGGCCGCTCCACCCCCAAACCAGCTTCCATAAGAACCTGAGCCTTTCGACTTTATTACTTGCAAGTAATTCTATCCCAGTAGCCTTAGGCCAGAGAGTGCTGTCTGCCAGGATGTTGAGGAATGCAGCTTTGACCCACGGCCACTGAAGGTTGTGCAAGTGGAGACTGTTAGAACTGGTTCCCCAAGTGAGTCACGGGTCTCCTCACCTGAGAATTTGGGAGTGAGCCCGCAAGCCTTCCAAACTGTTTGACCTTTGTAAGATTAGGTGAAGATGGAGGAAGGGGTCCAGAGAATCCTCCCCCCAGCTCCACACAAGATTCTGTCAGGTAAAAAGAAACCAAATGCTAAGGTTGACTCGTCTCAATTATAGTCCAGGTGAGGGGACAGTGTACCAGGCTGCACACCTGACATGTGGGCCCCCCTGGTTGCCAGGCCCACCCAGGGCTCAGCCTCATGTGCGCCAATGGCTCCATCTGCTGCCTGTTGCTCCCAGTGCATGGCAAGGGAGGGAGGGAGGGCCATCTGGTGGCCATGTCCTCCAGCACCATCCCTGTGGTCCTGTCACTGCCTGCGGTAAGATGTTGAAGGCGCAGAGTAGGGCATGAGCCACTCGAGCTAGCTCACTGCCATGACCCCTTGGCATACAGTGGGGTGCCTAGATAAAGTAGTCATGAAATTGTAGACGTGGGGGATTCTTGGGAACTTTATTTAATAAGCCATCTTCGTTCTGTACCCTTTTAAAACATGGCATAACTTAGCCGAGGCTTACTGGGGAAGTAAACAGAATACCTATCAACAACATGACTGAAGTGGTTTGGGGAATAATTATCTTCATGAAAATTTGAATGGCTTCCGCTTGTTCTGAAAAGAACCTGCTAGCACTCTTTTTTTTTGGTACCAGGGATCAAACATAGGTCCTTGTGCTTGTAAGGCAGGCGCCAGAACCACTGAGCTAAATCCCTGGCCCATTTTTTTTTTTTTTTTTTTTTTTTTTTTAAGACATGGGGTACTTCAGTCTGGTGTTGAACTTACTAGCTGAGGCTGGCCTTGAGCTCGTGGTGATCCTCCTGCCTCAGCTTCCTGAGTGCTGGGATCACAGGTGTGCACCACTGTACCCAGCATGCCAGCTAAATGAGCTAATCAGTGTTGCCCCAGATCCCTTCAAACCCAGACATTGAAGCTACCTCCCCAGGTACAGGTAGCATCCAGTCCAGTGCAGAGTGTCAGCCCTGGGATCAAGTTTGTATCACTCCAAATCACAGGACTTGATCCAGGAGAGCAAGGGTCTCCCTGTGCATGTCTGCCTTGGAGCTGGGTGTGGGACTTGCTGCAGAGATGTCTGTGTAACCAGGTCCTACCGGCTCTGGTAAGACTATGCAGGAGAAAGCGGGCAGGAACTCTACTGTGTCCTGCCCCTCATCTAGCCAGGAGACTTGGATAAGCCACTTCTCTGAGCAGAATCTGCTCTGAAGTTCCCCCTGCTAGATCTAGAGCTGTGCTTTCTAGCACAGTAGTCAGTACCCACGCAAAACTGTCAAGCTGGAATAAGTTAAACATTCACTTTCCCAGTGAGACCAGCCCCATTTCCAGGTTCAGTGGTCCACATGGCTTAGGGCTGCCAGTGGACAACATGGGGAAGGGCTTTTTCCATTGTTGAAGAGAGTTCTGCTACTCTGCGCTGCTCGGAGTCATTGAGCCAGGCTCCCAGGGTGCACATTAAAGGAGAGCAGTCTGTCTCTCTCAGAGGAGCTGCCTCATTGCCTGGCAGCTTCGGATCCACCCATTTCGTCTGCCCATGGAGTTGTTGGCCTGTTGTGTCCAGAGATGGGGTCACCTGTCCTGACTCCTCTGCTGAGTGGGTTCCAACCTGTGTCCTCCAGAGAGGGCAGTGCGGCATGATGGCATGGGTGACTGCTTTGGGTTCTAGCCCTGCCTATGTCACTTTATCTTAATGTGGCCACCAATTAGTGTTGCCTTTGTGCTTCCCAGGCTATAGTCTATAAAGGCAGCTTAGTGTAAAGCACTTAGCTGCTCAGATGTAGCAGGTGCATGGTAAGCTTCGGGTGTTGTTGGAGCTGGTTGACTCTTCTTTTAATTCGAGAAAGAGTGAACACCACCTCCCTGTCATATATATCTTGGATGGTACATGGGGGAGGTCAGTTCTCTTCTCTGCATTCCACACTGTTGAAGACTTGGGAAGTCAACAATGAAGGGCCGACTCCAGCGGTTCTAGAGGCAGAGCCATCATTGTTTAGGAAGGAGGTCCTTAAGAGGAGCTGCGGACAAGGCTACAGGGAGTCGGAGGATGGGAGGAGACACAGAAGGCCTATTTGAGCACCAGGAGGGCTATGCCACTGCTGTTTAACGAAAAGCAGAACTAGGCCCTCACATACTGTCATTGAGCAGAAGAATGGCCAGCAGCAAAGGCCGACCTGTTTCCATATAAGCTCTAGCATTGCAGGCCTCCCTGAGTCCAGCCTGGTCCCTCTCACCGCCTGCCTGGCAGGGCTGCCCAACCTGCTGGAGTCTCAGCCTCGTAGGCAATTCTCTCTGCTGGCAGCACCCCCCTCCCATGAACTCTCAGCCCCGGGACCCACTCCAGCAACTCTGCCCAGCTCAGTTTCCTTCCTGCTGCTGGGCTCCCACTCAGCAGAACAATACAGTTACTTGAACCCAGGCTTAGAACTTACTCAGTTTTGTATTTGCCTGTCCCCTATGCTGGTCACATAGTAGCTTCTCACAAATGTTTGCTGAGAAGTGATTCGTCTTTAAATGAAAGGCTTCTTTACTGCATAATTGCAGCCAAGCAGAAGTCATTTTTGCTCACTTCATCCATTGATGTGATCTCCACTGCTTGCCTACATTGTGTGGTATAGAGAAGGGCTGGATTGGGGTGGGTCCAGCTAGACAGGTGTTTGTTTTTTCATCTGTATGATAAAGATTGGGCTCTGATGCTTTCCTCGCTTTCTTCCTGGAGCTTTGAGGTCCAGTAGAGCAGCACTGTCCAGAACTCTGCAGCAGTGGAGCAAGAATACTAAGCTACCAACAAAGGAGAAACTAATTTTAAATTTTGTCTCATTTCATTTTATTTAAGTAGCCATCTTCTCACTGTAAGTCATGTGTACCTAAGGTCCTGGACACACTCCCCATTTCTTTGCCTGTCTTACACCCTCAGGGTTTAGTCCATGGGAGGCACCAAAGAATAGGGGCCGACCGTGCCAGGTCCTGGAGTCGGGTCCGGGTAGGGGAGATGGAACCTTCTAGAAGGGAGAGGTCAGGTTTAACAGGAGCTGAGCCCCAGCATGCCTGAGACTCAGACACAGGTGAAGGAACGCACTGGCAGGCATGGCTTCTTGGGGAGAGCCGGAGATAGGGACTTGATTTCCTAAGCACTGGAGGATTTCAGCCAAGAACTGACCCTACCCACCCACTCAAATCAGTGTGTTAGAAAGGCCACTCGTGATGGTATCGGGGATGGTGGGTAGAGGAAAGGCTGCTGCCGGCCAGGCACCAGTCAGACCCCTTCAGGCACATTGTGTCACTTCTTCAGCAAGACCACGCGGCTTCTGTGTGGTAGGTGAGGGTCCTGAGAGCCAGAGAGGGCACCTGTCCAGTCGTGTGGTCAGAGGTGGGTTAGTTCTGCACTCGGGGCCTAACCCATACCACCTCTCATGGGCAGGACACCATGCCTGAAGAGAAGGTAGTTCCAGAAATGTGGGGTGGGGGTGTTTATCCAATGGTCGGGGATGCAAGGAAGGTGGCGCTGAAGCTGACGCGTTCCTGGTGAGTTGACTTAGTGAGGAGTGGGATGAGGGACCCAGCAGAGAAATGGGGACAGAGTTCATGCCTGACCCAGCCAGTGACTCCATCCAGGGCCCGGAGCTGGGGCTACCTACCCATGCATAGGATGGAGCCGGACCTGAGGGGAGGACAGGCAGGTGAGGGAAGTGTTCTTTGGCGGGTCTTCTCAACAGTCCCTGTTCCCTGAGGGTTGAGGGACTAATCTAAGTTCTGCCTGAGGACTGTCGCATTTGATCTGGGAGCCCAGGCAGGCTGGCAGTGGGTGCTGCTAGAGGGCGGTGGGTGATCTGTGTCCTCTCGTGTCCGCAGGTGGGCAGCCGCCGGGTGATCCAGTATGGTGCCGCCCTCATGCTTGGCCTGGGCATGATCGGCAAGTTCAGTGCCCTCTTCGCGTCCCTGCCGGACCCAGTGCTCGGAGCCCTCTTCTGCACGCTCTTTGGTAAAGCCCCACCCCTCCGGAGGGATGGCTTCCCTCGGCACCTTTCCTCACATTGCTAATTCTTTTTTTATTCATTAAGTTTATTGGTACATTTTAGGGATACATATGATCACATTCATTACTGTACCTGTACGTGGTATATCTTGGTTCTAATTTTTTCTCATTCCCCTTCACTTTACTAATTCTTTTTTTGGTGCTGGGGATCAAATTCACTTTGCTAATTCTTTTCTTTCTTTTTTGAGACAGGGTCTCACTATGTAGTTGAGCAGACTCTGGAACTCACTGTGTAGCCCAGGCTGGTCTCAAACTCACAGCGATTCTCCTGCCTCAGCCTCCTGAGCGCTGGGGTTACAGGCGTGTGCCACCATGCCTGGCTCACTTTGGTAATTCTTAACAGGGCTCCTGGGGTCTTTGCTGATTCCCTTCAGTAAAATTGAAGTAAATTTCTGTTTTAAAACAAAGTTAAATAAAAACTGGGCTGGGGATTTAGCTCAGTAATGCTGCTGCCTGCCTTGGAACCACAAGGTCCCAAGTTTGATCCCTGGTATCAAAAAATAAAATAAAGACCTGCAGGGCTGGAGATTTAGCTCAGTGGTTCCACCGCCTGCCTCACAAGCGCAAGGACATGAGTTTGATCCCCAATACCAAAAAAATGAATGAATAAATAAATAAAATAAAGGCCTACATTATTTTGTCATTTGAATTTATGCTGAAGGTAGATCCAGCAGTATGAAAATTAAGATTAAATCTAGTTAAATTGTAATTTCTAATTGGTCTAATTCAATTACCTTCTCCTATGAATAGGCCATTCAGAACTGACTGTTTTTGCAGTGGGACTCTGGATATGATGGCTGGTTCGTTTAGTTATGTTTGGGTATTTGGGTGAGTTCCCAATGTGAGAGAACTTTGTAGGGAGAGGCCGCATCCTTGGTCATGTGCTGGTGTGATGGAGGCGGATGCGATGCTGATCTCATGCCCGCCTGCTTCCTGCCACAGCTCGGGCTCTCAGCTCATTTCCGACAGGACACCAGGGCATCTGCGTCCCAGTGCTACACCCTGTCCCTGTGCTTTGGGGAGCTCAGTGGGACCCGAGTCTGGTGTTTCTCCTACAGGAATGATCACCGCCGTTGGCCTGTCCAACCTGCAGTTCATTGACTTGAATTCCTCCCGGAACCTTTTTGTGCTTGGATTTTCCATCTTCTTCGGGCTCGTCCTTCCAAGTTACCTCAGACAGAACCCTCTTGTCACAGGTGAGGAGAAGAGGCGCCGAGTCTTTTTGGGCAGCATGTTGTATGCCTTCGTCTGCGTCTCACTCTGTGGCAGTCCCCCTGGAAGCCCGCGGCCTCGTACATAGCTGGAGTACAACTCACGTGGAAGCTGCAGTCTCTTTACAGTGATCCTCATCCTTGCAGACTGCTTCTCTAAAATCCCCTTCTCAGACTATGCCTGCTGAGATTTGTGATATTTTGGGGGTTTGTTTGTTTGCTTGTGGGTTGGTTTGGTTTGGTTTTTGTTTTTTGAGACAGGATTTTGCTATGTAATCCAGACTGGCCTTGAACTCACTGTGGAGACCGGGCTGGCCTGAAACGTGTGACCGTGATCTTGCCTCAGCCTCTTGAGTGCTGGGATGACAGGGATAAGGTACTACACCTGGTCAAAGATGTGTGGTTTTTTAAAACTTCATATATTCAGAACACAGATTTTCATTTTTTTCTTTTTTTTCTCTAGCACCGGGGATTAAATCCAGGGCCTTTGCACTGAGCTACACCCCAGCCAGCCATTAAAAAAAATGTTTTTTTAGACAAGGTCTTGCTAAGTTCCCCGGCCTGCAGTCTAACTTGTGATTCTCCTGGATCATCCTCCAGAGTGAGTGCTGGGATTTCAAGTGTGCACCAACCACACATGGCTGAAATACATGTTTTTTATTATATTATAGCTATGTTAAATTCCATATTAACCTTCTGAACTCCTCCTTGTTGTGTTCATAGCCTGTTGTCGTGAAGAATGAGCAGCTATTTTAAGAAATAGCTGGGTGTGGCACCTAGTGCCACTAAATAAAGATAACTGTGGCTACTGATAGTTATTTTAGCAATTGTGCAATTACTAAGTATCATTTTTACATTGTGTATGTATATGTTCTTGAGGAGTTGACATTAAAATTAACCTTTTGTTTTTTTGGTACCAGGGTTTGAACTCAGGTCCTGGCACTTGCAAGGCAGGTGGCAGCACCACTGATCTAAATCCCCGGCCCAAAATTTACCTATTTGAAGATATTTACTACCTTTGTAATGTTAAGCTACCCCATCCAGTTTCCATAACATGTCATCATTCCAAAATGAAACTGTTTGTTAAACAGTAAATCAGTAAATCTATATTATCCTGTTCCCCTAGCTCAACTTAATAGTTTCAGGATTCCTTCGTGTTAGCTGGGCATGGTGGTGCACACTTGTCCCAGCACTTGGGAGGCTAAGGCAGGGGAGTCGCCTTGAATCAGCCTGAACTACATAGCAAAGACCAGTGTCCAAAAAGAAAAAAAAAATTAATTCACGTCATAGCATGTTTAAAAAGAGCTTCATCCTTTTTTTATGACTAAATAATATTCTGTTGTATGTATGTGCCATCATCTGTTCGTTCATCCACTCGCGAGCATCTGAGTTGCTCTGTGTTTTAGCTGTTGTGAGTGTAGGCATGCTGTAATTCAGTTCCCATTATTCGTGATTGTTCTATGAAGTTGCCTCAGACAAAACTAGACTATTGGTCCTGGGAAATTGATCAGCAGGCTGTGACTTGGGACAGTTAACTCCCTGGCTCGTACCCAGCCATCCTGCTGTAGGGACACAGGACAGCAGTGTTGCAGGGAGCAGGGTGGTGATAGAACCACCGGCTTTGCACACAGCAGGCAAGCACTTAGGTTAGGGTTAGAAAGCACGAGAACTTCTAATAACAAGGAGTTCTTGCTGTTTTTTTACATTTTAATCCGTTCTATTCATGGGAGGACATTTTCATAAGTCGGTTGCTGCTGCTTGAAAGCAGCTGTGCTGATTAGGAACCTAGGATATTGAAAACACTTGTGTATTTACAGATACACAAAAGATTTTTGTCTGAGCCAGTGTGTAATTTTTTTCAGCCTTATAATGGCCATATTTTATATAAAAATATTTCTGTCTACACACAACACTCCAGTGACTATAGAGTATATTGTAGGATAAATGGCACTTTATTAGGTTCACCTGACCACTGTTAGGAATTGTCCTTATGGACTTGCTTTGGATTAATGTTGGAAGCATTCATAGTAGTTTAAAACATTTCTGGCAGTAATTTATCTATACATGCAGTTTACATTTTCACCTTCTACATGGACTGGCAGAATTGCACCCACCCCATTGCCTGTTCTAAATTAAAGCCTGTACTGGCTACAGCAGTAATACGGTCTCTGTTCTGTTTCTAGGTATAACAGGAATAGATCAAGTCTTAAATGTTCTTCTCACAACTGCTATGTTTGTAGGAGGCTGTGTGGCTTTTATTTTGGACAACACCATCCCAGGTATGTGGTGTATGTAAAACATGCTTTCTGACTATGCGCATTGTTTTTTCATTGAATGAAAACTGGAAGCAAAAGCTAGACCTGGTTACGCATGCCTGTAGTCCCAGCTGCTTGGGAGGTAAGGCAGGAGAATCTCTTAAGCCCAGGAGTTCAAACTAGTCTAGGGAACATCTAAGTCAGAGGGAGGGAGTGGGAGAGGGCAGGGAAGAGAGGGGCAGAGAGGAAGAGGAAAGAGTTCAAAGCCATCACTGATTGAAGCTCTTCTATTTTGTTTGTTTGTTTGTTTGTTTTTTGGGTTTTTGAGACAGAGTCTCTCTATGTTGTTGAGACTAACCTGGAACTCACTATGTAGCCCAGGCTGGTCTTGAACTCACAGCGATCCTCCTGCCTCAGCCTCCTGAGTGCTGGGATTACAGGCGTGCGCCACCACACCCGGCCTGAAGCTCTTCTAAAGTGGTTGAAATGTTTTTGTTAATAGGTTGTGAATGGCATTAAGAGGGAGCAGGAGACCTGTGTGTAGTGTGATGGTAGTGGGTTGCCTCACGCCCACTCTTGGCTCCTGCCCCCTTCTCACTTGTGCCCACAGCATGCAGTGTAGCTCTCAGCACTTGTCATGCATTCCTTTTTTTCCCCCATACCAGGAATTGAACTCAAGACCTTGTGTTTGCCAGGCAAGTGTGGTGCCACTGAGCTACTTCCCCAGCCCTTTCATGCATTCCTAAGCTGCTGGTAACATGCTCTGGCCCTTCTCCCTGGGACTCTGTCCTTTAGACTGGTCATTCCTGAGGTGGGCAAGGCCAAGACCAAGGATGATGCTATGGAGGCTGCCCCTGCATCACCCATTAACCCCTGTTGATGGTTCCACGCCAAGCCCTGGTTGGTGGCCTAGGTGGGGATGTGGCCCAGCCTGGAGCCATCCTAGCTTCCCTGAGACAGCAGCTGGATACTAGTGTGCTGCCTACAGGGAAGGGGCTGTGAATCCTGTCTGGTGTGTCTCCCCCTAGGTTCCCAAGTAGTCTCTTAGTTGAGGCATTTTGTAGTAGGTTGTCTTATGAGAAATATCTCAATGAGACTTTCAAGTCCAAGAACAAGCCAGTGCCTCCCCACCCACACACTAAAGTGGAGCAAAAGGCCGGGCGTGGTGGTGCCCGCCTGTAATCCCAGCACTCGGAGGCTGAGGCAGGAGGATCACTGTGAGTTGGAGACCAGCCTGGGCTACATAGTGAGTTCCAGGTCAGTCTGAACCACATAGTGAGACCCTGTCTCAAAGAGAAAAAACTAACTAAAATGGAGCAAAGCAGCCGGGAATGTAGCTTAGTGGTTCTGCCGTCTGTCTTGCCAAGTGCAAGGTCCTGAGTTTGATCCCCAGTACCAAAAAAGAAAACAATGGAGCAAAGCAGCGAGTGGAATGCAGTAACTGACTGATGAAAGTTTTGTAAGTGTAACAAAAGCTCTAGGCCTGTTCTGCAAACTCAGATTTGCGTTTTAGAGAGAGATTTTTTGCACAGTGTTTGACTGATTTGGAAGTGCGTGGTGAGATGGAGTTGGTCGTCTGACACGGTGGGATGGAAAGTGGGGATGTGCCCAGGTTGGACCTCAGCAACCAGCACTGAGAATGTCGGCCATGGGGACGGGTGGGAGGACAGAAAGCCTTCAGGGGGCCATCGGGTGTGGGATGAGAGGGACAAGAACAGCTCAGTGATTCTTGGACTTTGGTTGGGTACCCGGAAACCTGAGAGCCTCAGCTTCTCGGTCTTTTTGCCGTCGTGTAGATAGGGCGGAGCTTGGTTACGGCAGCCTCGTTTCTGATAGAAATGTTAAACTAAGCATTGCTTTATTTTGTTGTGTGTGTGTGTGTGTGTACTCACGCATGCGTGTGCATGCTCGTGCTTCTGTGTGTCAGGTACCCCAGAGGAAAGAGGAATCAGGAAATGGAAGAAAGGCGTGAGCAAAGGAAACAAGTCGCTCGATGGCATGGAATCCTACAACTTGCCGTTCGGCATGAACATTATCAAGAAATACAGATGCTTCAGCTACCTGCCCGTCAGCCCAACCTTTGTAGGCTACACATGGAAAGGCTTAGGGAAGAGCGAAAATAGCCGGAGTTCAGATGGAGACTCGCAGGCCACGGTATAGCCTTAGCTGTGCCCTGTGGCCTGGCTGCAGTGAGGCGTGTACCTGTAGTTCCTTGCCGAGTAACAAGAAGTCAAATATATGTTTGTAGATCTGCATCTGCATCCTGTGCCCCAGAGCTAAGACAGGTTGTTGCACATTGCTTTTCTGTCACGGGTGGTGATTGTGTCTAATATGGTGTCTCACCAGGCTGCTTATTTAAGCCCTTGACCTCTTGCCCTTTGAGAGTGTCCATTGCTGGCCATGGTCACTAAACTTGAAATTCCAGCCCTTCTGTGGGAGCGGGCACCTGGGATCATCAGCATTTCCCCTTTTTTCCAGTTCGCTGCCCAGTGCTAGTGTTCCTACAACGTTGCCTCCAGGGTCCAGGGCTTTTGAGACAGAAAGCCCCTGAACCCACATTCTCTTCATTTGACCTGAGCTTGGGCTAGGGCCACCAATATCCTCACATCGTCACAGCTGCCTGTCAGGTGATTCTGTTCCCTGCTAGTCCACGGGAGGCTGTTAACTAGCCTGGGAACAGTGACCTGGCTGCCCTGGGCCCTGATAGGGTGTTGCAGATCTGTGTAAGTATTAAGTGGGACCCTGTTTAGGGGGTAAAAAGGGAAGGGAGAGGACCCCAAAGCCAATAGGATTCTTTTTTTTTTGAGACGGGGGTCTCACTATGTAGTTGAGACTGACCTGGAACTCACTGTGTAGTCCAGGCTGGTCTCAAACTCACAGCAATCCTCCTGCCTCAGCCTCCTGAGTGCTGGGATTACAGGTGTGCGCCACCATGCCCGGCTGCCAGTGGGATTGTTGATGCTCTTTCCCCTGCCACTCTGGCCCCTACCAAGGCAACGCTTTTCAGACTGGGCCTTTCAATGGCCGAGACACCTTATTGGGCATATATCGCTCCTGGCTGGTACAGAGTGCCACTCAAGGCCCCGGCCATGTAAGCTTATGTGTCCTAGCTCTGCTGTCATGTGGGTGTGACTGTTGCGCGCATCTATAATTACAATATTTTATTCCTATTTAATGTTATTGACTATCGCAGATTTTCCAAATCAGTGTTTTTCCATGTGACCCTCTTCCCTTGCATCCCTATTCCTTGTCCCCCACCCAACAACCTCCACCCTATTAAGAAAAGTACCAGCATTTGTAAAGCTGTGGATACCATCAGGGAAGCTTGTTGTAATGGCTGTTGAAGGCCAGTAACCATTGTTGTGGTTGTGTTTTGTATTGCCTGATACCATGAAAGTGTAAATACTGTAATGCCTAATCTATTTATCAAAACTGACTACTGGACCAGCGCCCAGGAACCTGGGTCAAGTTACACGTGAATTTGTTCTGTGAAGAAGGGAAGCTGGGCTAGGTAACCAAACAGAGCCACCCTCCTGACAAAGTCATTTCTCCCCATTCTGCTGCTGCCAGTCATTTCCAGCTGCCCTGGCTTAGGGAGACTTTCTGGGCATTGTCACGTTGCGTGTCCACTGGATCTTGGTCGGGCAGAAGGGAGGTGAGTTCCCTTAGCCATGTGCCGCCTTGTTTGAGTGAATTGTTACAGAAGATGGCGAGGAAAGCAGCTAGCAGCCTCCCTCTATGAGGAGCTCTAATTTATGACACTAAATTATTTTTGACAAAGTGGCTTCTATTGAATTTGAAGTTTTTCAGCCAAAGGAAAAGCCTGAGACAGAAAGCAGTCGCCTTGCTTCATGGGGCTGGGCCTCTTCCCTGGTTGAGCTGCCTGTGCTTGGACGGCCTTGCGAGCCCCTGTCTCCTGCAGGGCCGGCTCTCAGTCATATCCACACAGGGCGGGCGTCTCCTTGACATTTTCACATCACCGGGTCTGTGGCTGGGCCACTGCAGCTCCCTTGACTCCGGGCAGTTTTGGGCTTCAGGAGCACCTCAGAGCCACTGCATTGTTCTGCCAAAATCTTCTGCAGACTACTTAAAGACCTTAGATTCTAAGTTGCATTTAATTTTTTTGTTTCTGAGATGTGCATTCAGTGGGTAATGACTTTAGGAGGAGCACACTGGTTCCCATCCCCAGCCTGATAATGACTGCTCTCCTGCCCTGTGTTGCTCTCTGTTCCTTTGCTTTATAGTTTGCTCAGCATTTCCAATCTCTCTGCTCTGAAAAATGGGGAAAACTGTTAAATGTCCCAGAGATTTGAAGAATTCTAGTTCTCTAAGGGAGTAGGAGAGCAAGTGTCCAAATACAAACATCAGAACCATTGCTGATTGAAGCCCAAGTTCCCTTCGGCTCAGCTTGAGAGGGTGCTTTCCGTCCCCACAGGGCCTCTCTCTGGGGACTCTTCTGCAGGCCAATTTTATCATCATGGGGCCTCAACTCCCAATAGAGGAGGGATTTCCAGTGTTCTGCTGGGGAAGGAAGTCCTGCACCCATACGCCGGTGGAGACAGGATTCCACCTTGCTTTTTTGATATTCTGTCGGGAGGGGAAAGAAAAGGGATGTGAAAGAGAAAGAGCAGTCTGACAAGATGCTGCCCCCGGCGAGTCTGAATACCCTCAAGTGATGGGAGTCCCCTGCTCACTGGCAAATCACACGCAAGCCATTTTAGGAAGTAGTCCTGCAGCAGATGTGCTGCGGAATGAACGTCTGTAACTGGACACAAAAGAGTGTGTTCACGTGTTCAGAGGGGGAGGCTTGGCGGGCAGGTGGCCCGCACTTCTGGGGCCTGATGCTGTCCTGGGAGCTCTGTTTTCCAGGAGAGCCTCATTCTGGGCAGAGCATGCCGTGTCTGACTTTCACCCTGCCCACCTGCCCACCACCTTCACCTGCCTGGTCCCGGGAGGAGCGTATTCCTGTTGGCCCTAAAGAGTGGAAAGTGGAAAAAGCCTGTGGGAGAGACTGCTGGGTTGCACTAGGGGACCCTGCAGTTGTGAGAGTGATGGTACACGGCTCAGGTCTTGGGATGTTCATTCTCATCAGGGAGGGAGTGTGGATTCGTGGGTATGTTCATTGTCAGAATCTGTGAGGGTTTCTAGTGTTAACTTTCAGTTTGCTGGGACTGAAGAGATACGCTTTTCCAGGCCAGCGAGAATGAAATACCTGGGTCCTGATGGTTTCCCGTTTTCATGGTAACAAATTCACATGCAGGATTTGCTTTATACTGTAGAACACTGACTTTCATGATGACAACTTGATTTATGCATGAATATTGCAGTATTTTCCATATAATAAAATAACATTTCTGCCCAGGATAAGTCACAGTTTTCCAGGGAGGGAATGATATAATTTTCATGACAATGTCATGTGCTGATAGAATTTCTCCATTGATGAATCTCTAGTATGTGTGTACTTTATTTACCCACGCACCTATTTTATGACCATGAGCTAAGCTGTTATGTCTTTCATTCATGTCCCTGCTGAGATACTGATTCAAAGCTGACAAGTTTGATCTCCGGTAGTATCCATGCCACAGGAGTGGCCTGGCCACGTAGCAGGTGAGTAAGGAGCTGGTGAGAGAATAGGCCCCATCCTGAGGGGCTGTACCCGAACTGCTGTCCTGGCTGCAGACGCCAGGCCTGGCATGGCTTGTTGAGGACCTGCTTGTCCGCCCGCTGCCAGTCGCCAGCCTTTGCCCACTGCCTACCGCGTTAGCCCCGGGGGCCCCAGTTCCTGCAGAACTGCCCGTTGCTGGGGGTCCGAGTGCTGTGCGTGGTCCGCTGTCCCTCATGATTTGGTCTCAGAGAATAGGACACCTCCCACCCTCCGTTCCTCCTGCAGCCAGAGCCTGAAGAGGACAAGAGGGCCGCCCGCGTTTGCCAGCCGTCAGGTCAGCCTCTGTCCGAGGTCCCTAAGGAGCCCTGCTCAGCAGCCTCCCGAGCATTCCCGTCCTTCTGCCTGTTGACTGTGCCTCCCATTGCCCCACCGCCCAGCGTCCATGGAGCTGATGTGTGTCCCAGGCACGCGGGACCCTCCCAGCATTGTCATCTGACTCGCCGTCCCCACAAACACCCCTTCAGTTGTCTGACACGCTAATAAATTTCTGACTGTTCCTAAAACAGTGGAGATGCCTCTATTTTCCTTGCGTTTTGTGACTGACTTTGCCTATATACCTTTCTGGGGTTTTGTTTTTTATTTTTATTTTGCATACTGAGGGTATTTGGGGTGGGGTTGTTTTTTGAGATGTGTAATTCTTTTATGGAGTTTTTAAAAAGAATTTTCATATTGTTTTTCTAACATGGCTTCATTAAATGTTTAAGTATTTTAAAAATATGTAATATTTGGACCAGATGTTGTGAATAATAGTAGAGATAAAGCTATTTTATTCTGTATTTTTAAAACTGTTCCGTACAAATAAACGCTCTCCTGGACACCGTTGTGCTTTTCACACGCTTCTTCCTTTGGCCGATCCTTCGGAAAATTGTAATTTATTAGAAGTCATCACCTAGGAGAAGGAACTTGGCTGATAAGAAATTCAGTGAAACAAGTCCTCCCTGTCCGGCACTTGGAAAGCTGAACAGCGAAGGGGGAGGGTGTGCAGTCCACCCTCCCGGAGGGCCAGCAATGTGGCAGGGCCTGGGCAGTGCATGGGGATGCTGACATCTGGGACAGGTCGGGGTGGACGGCTCATGCTGGTGAAACTAGGAGTCCATCGTCGTAGCAAAAACACATCTCCAGGCTGACTCTTGGGTGGCAGAAAAGGGCCAGGAGCAGTTTCTGAGGGTGACGAGGCCCCATTCAGTTGGTGGTGTGGTTCCGGGACGGGATAGGAGGACACATGCACAGGGCTAGGTGACTTTTTTCTTGTGGTATAGGATTGAACCCAGGGCCTTGCAAATGCTGAATAAGTGCTCTGCTACTTAACTGCATCCCTAGTCCTCCATTTGTCAATTTAGAGCAAACCTGGAACATTCCCGTCCCTAGTTCCTTGGCGTTTGGGGACATTAGTGACCAGTGCCACAACTCGGGTGTACAGCCTGCTGCTGCTGGCCTCAGCATCCCGATGTAGGAGCCACTTGCAGGCCGTCTGTCATAGGTCATGTGTGAGTGAAAATGTCAGGTTTTTAACTATAATGAAGAGTTCTCGTGTCGCCGTCCACATTTGGGCTGCCACTGGTCCACTCAGGGCAGTCCTAGATGTGTCCACCCCTTGCCAGGAAAATCAGTACCTGAACTTTGGTTTATCTTTGCCCTGTTCTCAAGTTTGCCATCTGTCTGCACCCCTAGACGCTTTTCCATTCAGTTCGCGTGCTTCGTGACAGGGTTAAAGGATAGAGTGTGCGTGTTGTCACGTTTCACTCAGTGTCATGAGACCCTCGTGTTGTTAACATCTCTGACGTTTTCTTTGATTTTCATTGCTGGGAGTAAAGTGTCGTATAAGCAAAAGGCATTCTTGAGGCTTCCAGAGAGACTGAGCTAGAGATCCAGTAGACTTCAGATTCTCCAGTAGCAACCTTTGCAGAGCCGCACTTTTTAAGGACTGAAGGGCAAGAATTTTAGAATTTTATGTCTAAATTCATGTTTAAATAATTTTGGATGAAGTCTCACATAAAAAGAAGCAAACTCAGATGTACTGTAGGAAATAACTGAAGTTCAAGTGAGTGCTGAATAGCTTGGTAGGCCTGTTGTAGCACATGCCCATAATCCCATCACTCAGGAGGCTGAGGCAGGAGGATCTAAGTGTGAGTCCTGCTTGGGCAATTTAGTGA